GCAAGAAGGCAGTGGCAGGAAAAAAAGGGGAGTCGAGATTGGACGGAGTAGTAGTTGAGTAGGTGCTCATATTGTGCAACATTTCTTCTCGGCCCTCTTCTTGTGAAGTGCTTGGAGCGGCGCGGCGATGCTGGGCCAGGCTAGAGCACAGCACGGTCCTAGAGGCGGCGGAAGCATTTGAACGAGGGGGGAGGAACAAGAGATGAGGGGGGGTTGCAGATGGGGGGGAGGTGATAAGATCCGTTTGGCGCTTCGGGGAAAAGAGACAAGGGTCCGCGCGAAAGGGATAAACTGATAATTTAATTGTGAGATTGGACGGTGGGGCTCCGCTAGCGGGAGCGGCCTTGAGGTTATTAAGCGCCGCGGAGAACAAACCCGCTAGTTAACAAGGCCCGGCCCGCCGCGCCCCGGCCGACACCCGCCGTGTCACTTTTGTTTAAGGAGGGCGACTCCGTGTATTCTGATTAAGGCGGGGAACTTAAAAGCCCATCATTCTCTTTGCCGCGCTGGGCCGCGCTGTAAAGCACACGATTCCCCGCCCGCAAAAAGGAAAGAGACTCCTTCCTCGGCGGTCCTGTGCGAGCAGCGCTATGTGCGACTGCAGTGCCGGCGCGCAGTGCCGCAGCGCGCATTCCCTCAGTCCCAGCTCCACCCTACGCGTCGACGTCCAGCCCAGCTCACCAAACGAGCAGCTAACCAAACGAGCAACGAGCATCTCACCAAGCAACCAGTTCACCAAGCGAGCAGCTCCCCGAGCGAGCTGCTCACCAAAGCGAGCTGCTCACCGACTAGACGAGCAGAGTAGAGTGGGCCAATATACGGCGCCCTCAAGTGCCACAATTTTGTTAGGTGGCTGCTCTGTACGTCCGAGGGGAGGCGGAGGCCGCCGGATGGGGTATGAGGCCGCCCCGCCCATCCCTACCGTGCCGCGCCCCGCCCCCGCGATGAGTGCGGAGTGCCACTGACCGTTGTGGCCGGCCAGGTTCACCTCATTGTCGTCCATTTTCATTCCAGTCCGCAAGAGTGCGCTGCGGGTAAATGCACCGTGAGGGGGGGGGGGGGGGGGGGCGACTGACACGGCCGGCTGGGCTGAGTTAGCACTGTGCGAGTGGGCGGCGGCGTGAACGGTGCAGCATCTATTAACGTAAAGCATGGGGAACAGGCAGTTTTTGCACAGCCGACAGACAGGCTGCCTGGGATCGGGTTTCGAAAAATGGCTGTATGAGGGAGGAAAGGGAACGGCTCTACACGTCGCCTCCCTTAGCAGCGTCGCCCATTCTCTCTTACCTGTCGCTCCAGCTGATGTCTGCTGAGCCCGCTGACCGTCGAGTTTCCTGTCAGACGCACAGTGATGGTGAAGCGCGATTTTTCTCCTGCAAAACAATAAATAGAACATCTGTTATAAAAACCACTTTGGATGGATTTCGTGCAGCGCAGCAGTCGTTTTTGCCTCGATTTAGTAGGTCATTAACTAGACTAATGATTTTTTGTCAGTTTTTGGAAAAGCAAAAATAAACATCCACCCCAAAAATAATTACTTCGTACTAGAATGGGATGATTTCACGAATGCTCGGAAACCAGGAAGGTATGAACCCTCCCTCTATGTGCGGCGTGTGTTTTCCACCTATTTTGCTGATCTTTATAGGGTGGTTCGTCCGCGCCGCTCTTTCTTTCCGGTTATACCTTCCGGATGCATTCGTGCGGGCGGGCTTGACCGAAGCGCCTTACGGCGCCGTGCGAGTATGCAACCCGTCCGCTCGCCTGTATTCGATACAGTAGAGCCAGAAGAAAGAACGGTGCTGAGGACCACCCTCTACACGCTAAAAGTGACAGCTTACTGCTGACTGACTGACTGACTGACTGACTGACTGACTGACTACTGACTACCAAGCAGTCACCACAATTCTAGTGCCCTGTGCCATTGCTCCCTTGCTGTGTACAGCAAAAGTGGATGACAGGTTACTCAACGTTCTCTGCTCAACAGCTTCGTTACATTCCAGACCGTAAAGTCTCGGCGATCGCCGCTCAGCCGTGCCACCCGCCCCCAAACCCCTCTTCCACAATTACAAATGGGGGACCGCAGGATTACGGCGCGCAAAGCAAATCTGCAAATCTCCAAGGAGAGCCGTTATGAGCTTTGAGCATATTCTTCAACTCAGTGGGCGAGCGGAAAGGGTGGGGTGGGGTGGGGGGATGACTGGGGGAAGAAACACGATGATGTGAAATATACTGCGCGGCCTGCCCCGCCCCGCTCTCTCCCAACAGCTCTTTTTCCCGGTGATCTCAAGAGAACACTCCGGGCAAGAAGTAAGCGTCTGGGATGGGAAGATCATACACCCCCTCCCCCCTTTCCTGACCCTCACCCCTCTCCTTCCAGCCCCAACACCCCTCGGGCATACGTGCGGATCGCTTTCATAGACTCGAAAAGTTTCCAGTATCGCACATCAGCTTTGTCGGCATCAGCTATTCAGGGCGACGAGCTGCTGCTGCTGCCCGCTGTTGTGCCCCAGACGGGGGCCCTGGCCAGGCCAGTCCAGTCGGTCTGCACGACGAACTCCGCGACCTCACACCGTGATACGTGATAACCAAGTTGCATGTGAAACACGGCGCCCGCACATTTCAAAGCGAAAGTACGCCGCGGAGGGCCGTTGCGGGGAGAGCACCGCTCAAAGAGGGCCGCGAAAAGAAAGGGGGAGAGAACGAAATAAAAGTCCAAGAAACAAGAAAGAAAGTCCCGCAGGAAATCAAGGCACTAGTCATTTGTGGTAATTGCCTCCGCAATTTCAAAGAGTGCCTCGAAACGTTTTGCTGGCGTCCCTTCATGCGAAGGGCAGAGTTTACTAACCAGACAGGTGACTGTATGGAAGGGCTGTGAAAAGGAGTAGTGCGTATCAAGGCAAGAGAGGTACAGAAGAGAGGACAGCGACGGGAGAGAGAGAAGGAGAGAGGGGGGCGGAGACAGGGAGGGGAGAGAGAGAGAGAGAGAGAGAGAGAGAGAGAGAGAGAGAGAGAGAGAGAGAGAGAGAGAGAGAAGCAATATGTGTTGAGACTCACCTGTCGCGCAGTCCGTGCAGGGCGCACTAGCAGGGGCGGGGCAGTCTGCAACACACGTCACATTCGTTCACATGTCGTGTGGCACATTCGTGTCAAACTGCCATCTACGTACTGTCTGGGTGAATCGGAGCAGACACCACGGTGTTGCCGGTTTGCATACTCTCTTAGGCCACGGGGACCATAATGGCGCCTTACGTGTGGAGAGAGTAGACAAACCCGCAGTCGCAATATAAAAGTTAGTACGGAAGTCTCCATACAATCTAGTGAAAATTTAGCACCCCAAACAGTTTTAGAGACATAAACTGTTCCCAAAGTTTTTGTGTAAACTAGTACGTTTCTGTTTTCCAAATAAATGTTCGTAAATACACGTGAAGGTCCATGGGTTAATTCCAACTATGGTTTGGAGAATAATACTTCCAAATTAATTATGGAAAGATTGTTTTTTGTTTTAATTTTGATCTTTATTTACAATGCGGAGTCCACTGTGGGTGCCACAGTGCGGTGAAAAAAGCTGCTTTATTCAGCTTATTCCTAAACGCATTATTTAGATGAACTACGCTTGCAAGTGTAGTAAACTGCGGTTTGGACTGGACAAACTTGTCCGAATATTAAGAGTATATTATCTTTTGACGACAATGTCATCACACATTTGATTGTCACTATTACGAGAACATTCTAGAGCGAGGATTACCACCATCATGAGAATGAGAATTGTGTTGTGAATTTCCTCGGTATCAAAATTTAAAAAAATCTCACTCTATTTGAGCCATCATTAAGATTAAGATTTTCGAATAAATTTCTAAGTTATTATTATCACTTAAATGGAGCAAGGGGAAAATCGCGCTCTTTCAAGGTGAGGTATATGAATTTTTGTATTTGGAAGTACTCATTTACCGTATCTTTTAGAAAAGGTGCCAAAACACGTTAGAGAAAACTGTAGAGAAGAAAGGCTTTTGTTATTCTAAAGGTTATAAGCTGTGGGCTGTGGGTTGGGCGTTGCTCAGGCTCCTGGGGTTGTGATACTCTTTCCTGTGTACATAAGGGTGTAGGCGGGCCGTACATGCAGTCTGTCTTCACACAAAAGTTTGGCTGGCTGCAAGATAAACACGGTGTGCCCATTAGCGAGCGGGTCAGCGCTCCGCCCCCTACCCCCTCACCTGCGTTGCCCGCTTGCAGCCTGGTCTCGCAGTGCGGTCCCGCGTAGCCTGGCCGGCAGAGGCAGCGTGGCTCCGGGTGCCATCCAGTGTGACTGCAACAAAGACAAACGTTCATGTACATAGCCAAATTATTAAATGCTTTTATCATCGTCGGTACATGCAAAGAATTGGCAGAAACACAACAGTAAGAATGCACAATATTTTAGGCGACACTTTTTATCTTTTATCTCAACAGAGCAAGCGCCCCCTGCTGGTTGGTGTGGCTCAATGTCGACCGCCGTTCGTTAATCCTTACATTAATGAAGAGATTCCAGTGCTCGGCGAAGGGGGAGAAGACAGAAACAGAGCCCGTTTAAAAATGATCAGCCCCCGGAACAGCCCGGACGGGCGGGCTCTTTTCGGGTTAGTCCGAAGTACCAAGCGGGCAGCCCTGAAACACACCCCAGAAGTGACAAAAACCGAAAGTTTCTGGGTATGCCCGGAGGCACCTTCGGACTGTTTTCGGGGATGCCCGAGCCCACCCAACGGTCACGAAAAAAAGGGAAACAAGCGGTATTCGATCCCTTACCCGACGGGTTTCTGTACTTTTGACCGACGCTCTTTCCAACTGAGCTACGGTGACGGCTGAGAGGAGATGCCTCAGGAAGGGTCCTTCAACTAGATGCGCAGTCTTTACAGAAATGATGCCTTTCACTGCGAACCGATTGGCGCATCGCGACGCGGTTTTCGGGAAATGCCTTTCGCTTATGTACTGGGCTCTGTTAAGGATATGCCGAACGACCTTTCAACATAAAAGAATAACGTGTTCTGAACGATTAAATGAAGACGTTGGACTTTGTTGAAGTCCAAAAATATTGTGTTCTTATGTATAGTTTTTTGCAAAATAATCCAAGATTTCGTACATGAATTTATACGAAATTTTATAAGTCAGATTGAACTCCCGTGTGCCATGTACAAAATAGAGAATGCCTCTGATATTTTGCTATTATAACTTTAAAGTATATAAGTTTTATCAATCTTGACGTAA